TTCTCTCTCACTCTCGCTCTCTCTTTCTCTCTGTTTCTCTCTGTTTCTCGGCCACATCTCGCCGTTTCCAACGGTGAGCGTACGCTCCGATAAACGTTCCACACGCACACACATACACGTCTCGCGTGTATACATGTGTATACTTGCCCGCGCGCAGGCGAACACACGCCGATCGCCGAGATTACGAGGTAGGGCTTCGGGGAGAGAGAGCACATCAGCTTCCTAGTTATAATAAGCGCCGCAAAAAATGTGGCAAAAACCTGCTCAGCCTTCGGCAAGTATATACCGCGCCATGCGCGTCCAGCAGCGGCCGGCTTCTGCTCGGCGCTCTCTCTATCGCTATCTATTCGCGTTCCTTTTGTTCCTGCATCCTCTCTCCCTCGGCCTCCGTCGTGCATCTTTTTTCCTTTTCGTCCTGTTGCACCTCGCTCTTCTTCCTCCTCCTCCTCCTCTTCCTCCTCCTTCTCTTCTTTGATCACCGTAGGTGTTGCCAGACAACAACCTGTACACCGGGGCCAGGCCAACTTCCTTCCTGCGGTCATCCTTTTCCGTCCTTCTCCTCCGTTCTCCCTCTGTTCCGCGCGCCGGGTTAACCCGCTCCCTTCGGGCGTACAACCTTCCCTTCTCGCTCTCTTATCCTCACGCCGTTATCTATCACCGCGCCGTCGGTTTCTTCCCCTTTTCTTCCTCCCTGACACCCGGGGCGGCGCGGCGCATCCTCCGGCTGCTCACAGCTGTCCGTCACGTTCTTCTACCGCTTCCCACAACGTCGTATTGTTATTATTTCCCGGGCTATCGTTCCTTAACCCCTTCCTGCCTGCTCGCAATGATGCAACGCGCTTTATCAATTTCCGCGACGCTAATCGACGATAATAATTTTCTCGCGTCGCGACTTCCGGGTTTCTTAGCGCGCGAGCACGCTACTTACCTCGCCCCCTCCGCCTTCGCCAGACTTGTGAATGAGGTTCGACAACGCGCCTCGTGTAATTATTAATTAACGCCACAACTGGACAGCTACTCGTACACCACGCGATACTATACGATACACATTTCCAGCGGCTGGAGCTGATTCATTAGTGTTCAGATGTTTAATACAAACGAGCACCGCGAGCATCGTAATTATATTATTATTAATGATAATCATGTCTAAGGCAAAGCTTTGGATTAGTAAAAAAACCAATCAAACTGGATGCATTTTTTCTAAATATTTCAAGTCATTAATGTGTGTGTTGTTGATAAAAGAATCTTAGTGTCTCCACAATTTTTAATTTTCCGAAATCATAAAAACATTCGGTGATATTAATGTAATTATAAAAGAATGTCCTATTATCATTTTTGTTACCATACTCTTATGTCAGTGTTTGAAATAGAACTCCATCTATATGTATAGAGATGTATGTCTTTCTTGGAAGTCAAATGAACGACCGTCAAGATTTCTGCGATGAAGCCGCTTTCTAATTTAAGTGATTTAATTATAGTTTGAGTCGCTTAACGTTTATCGAAATCTATCTGGAGCCAATAAGACGAGCATATGTTAGAGGTCCAGATTAGAATCAAGCTCGCCATACTAGTAACTGGAAGTTGGAATACCGTGTCTTGCCAAATTGTCTCTCGGCAATTCGTTTCCCAGTTAATCTATCGAAACGAATGCAGCGTAACCGGTTGAGAGAGAGAGAGAGTGAGAGAGAGAGAGAGAGAGAGAGAGAGAGAGAGGAAGAAGATAGGAAGACGTACAGTCACATCGTTCGTACAGTTATACGTACGAGAAGTGGCGTAAAATATAGCTCGCGGAATCGCGAGTGGTAGCCGCTGGAATGGGAGCCGAGAGAGGAGTGAATGTCTCGTCGCGTTTGACGGTGCCACGCCGGGGCGAGTTTATGAATGGTCCTGCGGACGTGCCGGAAGTTGCTAGCCGCGCGAAGGAAATTTTTAGCGTTGCGCCCGCGGGCGACGAGTTTTTCATCAATCACACGCACGACATCCTCGACGATCCACCGTGCGACCATAGGAAAGTTACTAAAACCGTGTTTGCGTTAGTAACGTATAATTACGCCTCGCTCCCTTTTTATCGTCGATTATTCTGCCGGCGAAGAAGCTGTAAAAGTGCCTCGCGCGACATCCGCGTTTCTACCGCGCCGCTAAAAACTTTACCGTTCGTAAAGTTCCATCGCGCTCGCCTTTGTTTATGCGTTGATGCCATTAAGCGCGCTCGTTTTCACGCGATCATGCAGATCGAAGGGTTGCCCTCAATTACGTTTACTTGCGTAGATACTATAATTAAGTGAGTCGTTTTCGAAAGAATTTATGTAAATTTTATCGGCACATATTATCTATGCGAATAAAACCTCGATTCGCGTTCTCGTATTCTTCTATGCCATATTAGCGCTGATAAAACTGTATATACTTAAAGACGTTTCATTACTGTTGCATTTTGTTAATATTCCTACGCATAAAGCATATTCACACGCATTTTCACACAAATATTTATATAAGCAGAAAATACCACACGTAGCGTAAATCTGCTTTCGACAATTTCAAGATAAAGTTCCAAAGTTCCAGAACGAATTAACCAAATACTCGCACTGTAAAAAAATTTTGTAAAATTACAGGTAATTTTGAGACCCACTATAATAGGTGTAAATTTTCACACATTTTTAATTTGTGTAATTGTAATACAAAATTACTTTTTCCTTCTGTACTGTAATTTTGTAAAATTACAACCATATTATATTGTATAATTACAACTATTAGTGGGTCTCAAAATTACCCATTATAATAGTTGTAATTTTACAAATTTTTTTTACAGTGCGGCGTCTAAAGCTCAATTTAATGTCGCTGCAGTGAAGCGAACTAATTATATGCCTGTTGAATTATATTAATAATTGGAGATTGTGAACACAAAAATTCACACATATTGATGAATATTTGATTGAACAATCTCCAAATCCAACAATATATACCCAGAGAGAAAATATTTACATTCTCAAGTTTCGCCCGGCAATATATATCAGAAACTGCATCACACAACCCATACATGCTCTTCTTACTGGTGTATATAAGCGGCGAAGGCCACCGTGCTCGAAAAGATAGTCCAACCCTGCTATCCGGGCAGCCGATGAAAGAAGGTCACGCGAGGAACTGCAGTCATTCTCGGAAAGTGCCGACTCGTTTCTTCATCTAGCGTGACGTCAACGTCACGACGTCGACGACGACGACGATGGTGGCGGCAGGCGGCGTTGAACGGACAAGCGGCGGAAAAGAGATCTGATCTGAGCGAGGAAGAGAGGAGAGGAGGAGATGAAGGGAGGAGATGGCGGAGGAGGGAGGAGGGAACCTCTCGAGGGACGGTCGAGGTGAGCTACCAGTTAAAGCGTGCGGCTCGGGCATGAATGAACGAACCGGCAAACCGAATGAAGGAAGGAACGGACAGCGGCGGACCTGCGCGCCCGTGTATTAGCCAACTCAACTCGGTATTTACTCGTCGTCGCGCGGACTCCGCGTCGCGCGTGTGTATACGTGCCCGTCGCCTAGCACACCCGTGCACACCGCGATTTTACGCGCGCAGCTCGGCGGCTGAAATAGAAGGAGAGAAGGAGAAAGAGAGATAGATCGGGTGAGGGAGGAAGAGCGACAGAGGAAGAGAGAGAGACAGCGCGCGCGCGCCTCGTTCGTAACGTGCGCGCCGACGCCAGTGTTAGTCCGCCGCGTGTGACGGGAGAGTATTCATTCATAAAACTCGGAGCGAGAAGAGTGAGGGCTAGAGGCCTGCGCCGCCGCCACTCCGCGCGCTGTCGCGTCGTGCGATCGTAGCGTGGTGGGGAGTCAAGTGTTTTTCGTCTCCCTCGCGCGCGTCCCTTCCAGTTCCGTCGTCGATCTCGCTCGCGCGTACGTTTCCAAAGTTCTCTTCTCTTTCCCTCCGTTTCCATCGCTCCGTTAATTCCACCTGGGTATCTTCCCCACGGATGACCCACGCCTTACCTCTCCGTGATTCTACGTTTCTACCTTCGTAAAACAGCTCGGTTAGTCGTATTTTCGGATTGTATTCTTGTATTCGCGTCTGCTTAACGTTTTTACCCTCGCCTCGGTTCCATTCAGCTGAAAATACCGCCGCTCTTACGCGTCTTCTGGCCTACGTTGTATTAAGAATCCCCTCGTCTTTCCTCGCACAATTTGGCCTCGCTCGTTCTTCTTTCCTCTCCGCTTCCGCACCCTCTAGCTCTCTTTCTTTCTCTTTCTCTCTCTCCCTCTCTTTCTTTCTCAGTCTCCGAGTTGCTATCTACGGCACGCTTCCCCTATAATAAACCGGTGTCCCTTGCCGCCCACCTCCTTCGCGCGTCCTCATCTCCTTCCGTTCTTACGCCTCGTTCCCCTCTGGCGTCCGCGAGCGCACGTACATACACATAGCGCGACTGTCATGCGACTTAGCCATCCGTGACACCGGAGTCACGATGAGGGAACCGGCGACTCGCCGATCGTCTTACTCTCGTTCGTGCCCCCTCCCTCCCGTCCGTTCCCCGTAGCGTGCGAAGAAAGCGTTCTCCGACGCCTTTACCCGCATTTTACCGCATCGTTTTGCGGCTCTTCCGAATACGATTCCCCGCAAAACTCGCGTGTTCGCCCGAGTGAGTCGTGTGAAACGAATCTTGACCGCCCCCCTTTTCTCGCGTTCGTCGCTGGACCCGTCGCGTCGCATCGCGTCGGACGCCCGTGAAATGTGAAATCCCGGCCGGCCTCGCGAATACGTATAAGACGCGATCGAAGACGCATCCACTTCCCCTCTCTCCGAGAGAGAGAGAAGCTCTCCACGACGCTCGATCCCCCTTCTCTCGCTCTCCACCTCCCTTTCTGGACGAGTCTTCCTCTACTTTTCTCCTGCACCTTTGCTCTCCTCTGCCGCTTCTTCTTTTTCTTCTTCTTCTTCCTCGGAGTTTCTGCCCCTCGTCTCTCACTCTTCCTCTCTCGTTCTAGTTCTCTCTTTCTCTCTCTCTTTCTCTTCTTCTCTTCGGCGTGTACGCACTTACCTGCGGAACGCGGTCGTACGTGCCCGACAGTGGCGCTTCGGCTTAACGAACTCTCCGGTGGCGCCGAAGGAAAGATCGTTTCGTAGCCGGGGCGGCGGATCACCTCGATCCTCGACCGAGCGATACACAACACACGGACCCGAGTGCGAGGAGCGTCCGTGACGCGCGGCGATCCCGTGCGTGCGCGCTCTCTCTCGACTTCTCTCGGCCGTTCAGTGCGCGGCGTCTCGCGTGTGCGCGTTCCCTCTCGAGAGTGCGTCGTCAAGTGCCGCGCTTACGCGATCATCGTCGTCGTCGTAGCTAGCGAGGTCTCGTCTCCGAGGAACCGCGTGAGGGTGGCCCGGCGCACGGGGGAGGGTTTTCCCCCCGCACGTGAATTCGAGAACAAAGCGGGAAGGAAACGCGAAGCGGAGCAGGGCATTTCCGTCTCTGACGGACCGGGCGACCGACGTCTCATATTTTCGGACTCTCGCTCCCTCCATCGGAGCTCGCTCTATCTCGCCACCCCGCGTCTCTCTTCCACCCTCTCTCCCACTCGGTCCCGGAGCAACGAGCGGTTGCGCAAGCAGGTATTCGGAAATAACCCGTGTGGGTCGCAGTTATGAATTGATAGCAAACACATGGTGGACACGCCGTGCTCCGCGGCCCGCGCCCGCCCGACGACCAGTAATGCGCCTCGTCGAGGCACTCGAGGCTCCCGGATCTTCTCCCGGCCTCCTCGCAACGTGACCGCGTCGCCGAGCTCGGCCCGCCATTGACAAATCAAAACTGTCAGCGGTCAGCGGCTGATTGTGTGTACGTTTCATCGCGACGCTGTGACGCGGGCGAGTGAGCAACGATTGGCGATTTCGATGGCACCGGACGATTGTTTGTCGTCTCGAGAAGCGGCGCATTGTCCTCGCACCGGGAAAAGTGCATTCACTAAGTGACTTTCCGAAGTGACGCCGGTCGGTCTTCGGTAGAAGTTATCTTCTCGCTGTCAGGGGACGTGTTAGCAGGGAAAAAATTATGGGATAGAGAGATATAGCCTTCTCGAAGAGCCTGAACCCGGCGATAAACAGATCGGTATGTGATTATTGGCTGTGCGAAAGTTCGACGTTACAGCACTGAGCGACGAGTCGACTCCGGATCGTCTTCGATGGTGCACCTGCAACTTAGATGATTTCATCGTGGACGACGAACTTCCGCGTCCCGAGAGACATCGAAAGAAAAGGAACGACGAGAAGACGAGTTCGGTAGCGAAATATAAAATATAACCGCGGACGAATGACACTGATAATCCTGGACTACGTGTATGTGCAGTGATTACACAAAATCGGCACTCATGTACGTTGATTACGGCGGCGACACTTATGCCGGAATGGGAATCAAGGCCATGAAGTCCTTTGGCAGGTCCAGAGGTAGGAATATCAAGGACAGAACTAACTGTAGTTACCTGCATTTATCTCGTTACAACGAGATGTAATGAAGCGTAAAACATTTAACATAATGATCTCGTAAGGGTTAGCTGATAGCCGTAAGAGTTCCACTGAAGAATATTGCGCGATTCCAAGTCATTATCTGTGCTTATTTCTTTTTTATTTTTAAATATTGTGAATATGATCAATATTGCAACCCAATTGTGAAAACGACATTTATTGGCATATCGTGTAAGTTGCGCTGGATGAAACTGAATGAAAACCGCAACATTTGTTGATAAATATAATCCAAGATTTTTACGGCGTTCAGTGAATTAATTTAGACTCATGTTTTATTCACAATTCGTGGTACTATATGCTTAGTCACAACGCGTTATCCAGAAAAAAAACGAGATCAGAGTGTTTCGTAAGTAGCTGAGGGCAGCAAAGTGGTTGTGATCTAAAACGATAGGAAATTTGTCTCATTGAAACAAATTATGTTATGTTTCATTCAAACATAGCAAGAGAAATTATGTCTCACTGAAACAGCACCATCCTTTATACATCTGTAATATAACTGCACTAAGAAACTTTAAACATCTGCAATATAACTGCGCTAAGAAACTTTAGTTGTTAAACTATTAATTAATAAATAAAATATTGATAAAAAGTTTGTGTTTTTTACTAATATTTTAACACAAGTTTTTTATTAATATTTTATTTAGTGACAATTACAGAAATCGAGCTTTGCATAATAACATTTTAAATAATTACAATATTAGCGCTAATGTATGATAGGTACATTATAAGTATGAAAATCGAAAGAACATTTATTAAATGTAGGACATGTTTTTCGACACTCGCATAGACTGCGATGGTAGCTGGGGGGTGATATATAAATGTGGTCCGTGCTCGGGCCACGCGCACGCGTCCCATTTCCGGAAATGAAGACTAACCCTGACTCTGACATTGGAGACGACGCCGTGATCGTGCCAACGTGATTAACACAAACGTGACTTAGTTCCCGACAGATTGTAGCAGATGTCATCGTTGCTCGCGCGCGAACATAATCCGTACTGTTGCACTTCCTGCAGTTGGGAGGACTCGCTGCGAGGGTATTCAGATTTTGATTTATTGTAACGAGATACAACGGCTAATCAGGGTGATAGAGAGGGATAGGGCAGAGTTGAATTAGGTAATTTAAGTTGTTAGACATAATACCTAAGTTAATTTATTTTATTGCTGTACAGCTGATGTACAATTAATTACCTTAAAATTAATAATCGTTTTCGTATATATTTCACATAATCATACATATAATAATTAACATTCTGGCACATTAGTCTTTTAGTTACAAACGTTGCATACGTTTAAAAGAAGAGGGACATTTCACAATAAAAGCAAATAACTCCTTACATAAAGAATTGATAACAGTTTCGTGCAATTAACTTATGGCATTGCTTTGTTAGTAAAGATTAGTGTAAAAATAATAAGGCTAATATATATTGTAATCGCAGTGCTTTTCCATCTGATTTCAAGTAAGATTTTCAACTTTTAATTTTCAGTTTTGGAATAAATTTTTTGCGGGCACAGGTATATTAAAATTATTGAAATACGGACATATCCCGGAAAAATCTTACTCGGTACAAGGCTCATCTGAGAGTCCGTACAGTCGAGCAGTTTTCTACGGCCTCCTGTGTGCGATCCTTAAGTAGGGGATCTGTCGAGCGAGTAGCTGCTGCTATTCGACGATACTTCCTGGCAACCGGTTTCGAGGCAACTGCTTGATCCGTTTTCTTCTACTTGCAGATATCGCAAGTAGAGCTCTTACTATTCAAAGTATTTCTGGTATTCGTATATTGGATTAATATTGACAGTGCGGTGCGAACGGCCGCGCGGCTACGCGGGTATTCCATAATACGTTCGAAGAGCGATTCGATCAAGTTTGCAGGCGAGTAATATACAACGCGGGTATATAATGAACGGGGATTAACCGCGCGGTATCGCGGCGAAAAAAAAATACAAAAACGGGGCAGGCTCGTTTTGTTCAACTCGAAGAGGGCATCGACTTCGCGAGCAAGACACTTATAGGATCGTCTTCCGGAGCGAATCAGATTTTTTTCTCGATGATTTACATAACTTTTGTGTTGCAGGTAAGCGTGTTAAAAAAAGAAGCGAAACACTTGAAGTTTGAGGTGAATTTAAATGCTAATGTTTCCTATTAATCATGATGTCCTTTCACTTCCATTCGTTGTATATCGGCGTGTCTTGACTCTCGGGGTTCGTGACGCGTTTTCTTCCAATCGACTCGACACGTAAAAATTCGAGAACGTATAACGAAAGTCACGTTTACTTTTTGCCAAAACAGGAAGGAAACTGTAACGACTGTCATTTTCCATATTACTCGATTGAAATATCTATATCGATTGTTACTGCTTAATCATAAATTTTACGGCGCTAAATAATTGTCAGTAAAACTGCCGGCTGAAGTATTTTCCTGCTTTTAATAGCTATGATAACGACTCGCCGCACCTTTTTTATGGCAAACAGTTATTGTCATAATTTTAACGAAAACCATAAAGAGGAACGTTTCTATAACGGTTGTTTAAATTTAATGATCGAAGAAAGCTTTTGTAGCTCACTTAAGAGATATTCCAAGAATTTAGTTGTCATTAAGCCAAATATTCTTCTGTGCTATAATTCGAAGTTTAAAAGAGCTTTGAAGAAGATTTTGGCAAGATTCTCTCATCACAAAATTCCGAATGGTTCTTATTTTAAAATCTATGTTTGGAAGAATCTCGTACGATATCTTAAGACAATTGCAAATGCAATTTAAAAACGCATCTTATTTTAATATAGACGTATAGACGTATAGCAAATGGATATAATTTGAAAGACTAACTGCTAAAGTTACGAAAGGTGCCGCAATTTTAAATCGCAATTCGGATTATCCGAGTAAAAATTCAGAAACTTGAAATTAGTCACTATATCGATTACAGTTGTCTGAATTATTTACAATGTTACACATTTATAAAGTTGATCCGCTTAAGCGAGCGCGCTAAATGAAATTACTGATAATTGCGCGAAATGAGAAAGTAGACACTTTGTGGCGCGGCGGCACGCCATGGCGCGACGCACCGAGGCATAATGCAGGCAACGTAGTATTTCAATAATTCATTTCGTGGAAGTAGTAAGATTACACGGACGCTACAGACAGTGATTCTAACTTTCATTGTCAGTGCAATGACATAAGCATTGCGTTGCAGCGCGCCGTCATTGCTTTCGACTGACACGCGTACGAATTGTACGCCGCATTACATACGCAAGAAAACAAGTCGTTTCCCGTTCGATTGTTACGTCAAGCAAATTGTTTGCTTAGAAGAATCGAGGAAATCGTTTGGCGTAACAAGACTTTTGTCAGAAATTAAGAGAATTAAAAACCATTTCGACCATTACGATATTTTTTTTTTCTCGATGAATCAAACTATTATAGTTTAATTCTAAATTTGAGCTAACATAAATCAATCTCTTTGTGTACATTCCGTGCAGCACGTGAGCTATAATCCGGCCGATTTTATTTCTTTTCATTGATTCTGTAATTGTGTGAATTATGCAACTGCGATTACGAATTGCGCAATGAAAATCCGTCGCAATATAGCGCCTCGAATATTCATGGCACTGGGCGCGCACGTCGTCGAGGTAAAAACGTAAAACCATAAAACGAGACATTACACATCCCCCAATGCCCTTCTATTAATATCCACCCGTATTTCAAAGTCAGTCAATCATATCCCGAACTGATTACCCCGAGCAATTTCGTATCGATCCAGTTGGCGATTGTTGGCGCTATTCGTGGGTTTCGGTTCTGCGAATAATTCGAATTGCTATTGCCATGGGATACGCTTTCTTGATCTATAAATACAAGATATTACAATTCATTGTTTAAACAACACTAATTTGCATTTTATTTTGATTCGCCTCTAGAATAAAAAGAGAAAAATTAACATCGTGTTTTAGCAGTTTCCGCGCACACAGTTGCGGAGAATAATTTCCGCGTATATTGATTGTAATTTAGAAAGTATTTCCGAGAGGATTTTGTGGGAAAATCTTTGCGAGATGAATGAAAGGCGACGCGACGCGACGCGCGTGTCTGCTCGTATGTATTTGTCCATGTCCACAGCAGTGCGAGCAGCGAATGGCTTGACCCGATTATAGCTATATATACATCAAAAAGTCTCGCATCTGGCGAAGATGTGCCGCGAACAACTGCAGAACGTTATCTTGGTTCCGGTTTCAAAATGACGGCTGTTTAGCTCCCTCAAACACTCGTAAAATCTAATGTGTGGGGTCCAAAGTGGCGCACTTTCTCTCGCACGTAGACGTTAAATAGGCCAAACTAATTGTAAGAGGAACGCCCGGTTCTATCAATATCGAGACATTAAATTTAATGAATTTTTCTAAGCTTCAGATGACCGCGACGAAACGAGAAGTGACGGTAAAGTGCGTGCCATGCAATTGTTCACGGCGACCGAATCCGATGTCTGATTTTCTCAACATTTGAAATTAGCTCCGTCCCCTGACAGTTACAAAACAAAAAAAAACATACACACGTACTTATAATCTCAATTTGTAACGGAATGCTGAATATAACAAATTAGGCCAACTCTCAAATGTTGTAGAGCAACTTCTACACAATATCGGCTTCGCGCTGCTTTTACGCCAGTTTCACAACGCAATATTGATCTTACTTATTGGTTTTATATTGATTTCACAGCGCAATGGGTTTTGCATTGGTTTTATACGACTTTCACACGTAATCGGAATCACATTTGCGTAGTTATTATAGTTCACCGGCGGCTATGTCGGTCACGTTCGACGACGATGCATTTGCGAGTACGAATAGGAACGGCATGTAACAACGGCTCGACCACTAAAGGAGAGGGAATCGTGGCGTGGCGGTGCGGTACGGGTTTTTCCAGGGAGAAAAAGCAACGATAAAACTC